GTGGCTGTGTCTGCGTTGGCTGAGTGTGAAGCTGCAGAACGGTACGTCCATCTTGACCATGTGGTGCATGTGGGTTCAAGNGTTTACCAACAAGGTTGAAGATTGGCGTGTGGCTGTGTCTGCGTTGGCTGAGTGTGAAGCTGCAGAACGGTACGTCCATCTTGACCATGTGGTGCATGTGGGTTCAAGCTTGCTTCGACGGTGTGGGGGACGCGTGGAAAGGTTCGTCGCCGCTGTTGGCCAGAAGTTCTTTCTGCCCCATGTCGATGTGATGCGTGTCAAGGCACATTTTGGGAATGTGAAAAAGTTTCCCCGAGTTGGTCAACTTCTGAGATCGTCGTCTCCGGGTGCACCGGTTGACGTGGGCTCAGGTGGGAACCTCGACGCCGAAGTGGCGTACGGCAACCATCCTAGCGCTTTACTGCACAGAGATCGGATCACAGACAAAGTTGTATCGGACGTGATATTGGGGCGTGCGCTGATTTTCGATGTTCTGTCCATCCGAGAAATCCTAGGAATCAGAGTGTCGCCGTTGGGCGTAGTCGACCAACCGAAGTTCAGAATTATTCACGATCTCACTTTCACTTCTGGCGCGCCAATCCGTATGAGCGTAAATCACGATACGGACTTCGATTAAGCACCTGAATACCTCTTGGGTCATGTGTTGAGTGACATTCTGAAGCGGGTGCTGTATTTGCGACAAGTACAAGTACACGGGGTGTCGTTGGAAATTCTGATCTGCCGCATTTATGTCAAATAAGCCTTCCGACAAATATCGGTGGATCCGTCTCGGGCATCGGTTTTTGGTTACACGATCGGAGATCACGCGGTTGTTGACCTACGGTGTCAATTTGGATGGCGGTCGAGCCCAGGGTTTTGGTCCTTGTTCGCGTCCGCCTTGGAACACTGACACACACACACTACATTTCAGGAAGCGTCCGTCTCTCCCGCCGGTGCTGCGGCTGTGCAGCATGTTCAAGTAGCGTCCCCACCAGACGAAAGTACAGCGATGCCGTTACCGGCTGATTGCCAGACTATTGTGGGTGACGGGGCGTTTGCTGGTGGTCCGTTTTTCGTGCGATACTACGTTGATGATGGTGTGTTGATTGCAGGGCGATTTTTCGCTGATGGTCGCCGATGTCTGCGGTAGGGATGCCTGCTTCGTCTGCTTTCGCGTCCCAAGTGCCGAGCCCGAACAGACGGGTAGTGCTGGGTCCAGTGTTCCACGATGACCTCGAATTTTGGCGGTGGTTCCACGGGCGTGGTCTCTTGTTGCGCGGCGGAAGATTGTGTGCACCCATGTACAACATTTTGGAACGTCCACCCAAACTATCCGTGTTCCCCGACGCGTCCAAGCAAGCAATTGAAGGGTATTGTTTGCAAACGGGCCGCTACTTTCGGTATGATCTGTCTGTGGAAGAGCAAGCTTGCTTTGTGGGATCGAGCAAATTGGTCCAGGGGTCAATGATGTCAGCATCAACGTGCTACAGCTCCTTGGCATGGTCATGGGGGCGTGGGTGTTGGTATTGGGTCAAAGTCACCAGCCTGTGGAGGCGGGTGATTGTGTGCGACAACGAGGAGACAACGAAGCAGCGACGGCGTGGATTGAGCGTTGTTGGGGGGGCATTGAGCCTCGATCGCNCTTTGTGGGATCGAGCAAATTGGTCCAGGGGTCAATGATGTCAGCATCAACGTGCTACAGCTCCTTGGCATGGTCATGGGGGCGTGGGTGTTGGTATTGGGTCAAAGTCACCAGCCTGTGGAGGCGGGTGATTGTGTGCGACAACGAGGAGACAACGAAGCAGCGACGGCGTGGATTGAGCGTTGTTGGGGGGGCATTGAGCCTCGATCGCGGGCGCTGGTGCGCCTACTGGGGGCGCTTGAGGTAGCCAGCGGGTGGCATTTTCACGCGACCCATGTTCCCGGCGTACTCAACTCGCTTGCTGATGGTATCTCATGTTGAAATACTAACGATGTTCATGATAACCTGTACGCTGCCTCCCCTCACGTGGCGTGGCAGATCGTGGAGTGAGGCCCGAAGGTGCGGGAGTTGTGCTCCACCGTGCTGGCTTCGAGCTCGTCCGGCACGCACTTGCGCGGTCGTCTGAACGAACTTACCTGGGATTTTGTGGAGCGTGGGTGACGTTTCGAGAGGACGTCGTAGGGAGACCGTCGTTTATGGTGCCGTCGTCTCCATCGCCGGACATTGTTTCGCAGTTGTTGGAGTACGTTGCGTACGCTTTCGCGGTGTTAGGCTTGAGGCAGACGACGATAGCTGGTCACTTGTCTGCTGTTAAAATGTTCTCACCGCTTGTCTTATGCGATGGAAGTGGATATATGCCATTCATTGATCATGCAGGCGCTCAAAGGGGTGGCGCGAGGGCATGCGGGTGTGGTAGGTGTGCAGCAACGGGTGCGAGGTCCGGTTTCGTGGTCGGTGCTGGAGGAAGGAGGGCGTCTGGTGCCACAGTGGGGCACGGGCGGGCGCGTGTTGTTTCTGGCGCTGAGTACGTCATATTTTTCTTCATGCGGGCACGTGAAATATTCGCTGGGTCCTGGTTGGTCATGGATTCTTGTCATGGGGTGCGTCGGGGGGACGTGACGTTTTTTCTGGGTTTCCACCAGCTGCCTCATGAACGGAGGGGAGAGGCCGACAGAGTCGAGGTGCGGTTTCGATCTTCGAAAGTCGACCAGTTTCGGAAGGGTGCCGTGTGTACGCGGGCGAGGCCGGGGCCTCCACAGGCTGTGGAGTGTGGGGGGGGAGCAGTCGATGTGATGATTGAACTCCTGTCATGCTACCCTTTCCTCCCACCGTTTGCTCCGTTGATCGCGTTCGGAACCGGGGAGGGGCGATGGTCCGTGTGGGCTCGTCGTCACGCGACGGAAGCGCTGCGGCAAGTTGTGTCGTTGGCGGGTCTGCCGTCGTCAGAGTAAGCGTTGCATTCCCTTCGGATTGGGGGCGCCACGTACTTGGCAGCGGGGGGAGCGTCGCCAGAAGTTCTGGGACGAGAGGGGAGATGGACTGGGGAAACGGGGTATCGGCCGTACGTAAGGAACCATGGGAAAGATGCAGAGTGTGTTCGTGTGTTTGGATACGGACTGGTTAGATCTACCGGCAACAAAAGAGGGCACGCAGATGGGGCATATGTACACCTTGAAATGGTTGAATGTGCGGGGACCCCTCGAACTCCAAAGAGGGCTTCACTTCTCCCTACTCCCCTTGCGTGTCTAATACAAGAGATAAAACGTCTTCGCCTTCCAAGTAAAGGACATATACGAACGCACTAGTGTCAGTCCCTCGAGGGAGAGTCCATTGGGAATGTCAGGTCGCAAATTTGGGGGTGAATCCTCCCGCGACTCTGCGGCGGAAGACAGAAAGAGGTCAAGAGAAGAGCTCGTGGCCCTGAGGACGCAAGTTAGCTCGCTGACGGATCAGATGAGCCAGCTAAT